AAAATCTTCTAAGAAGAGAAAACTTCAATTGAGAAGACCCCCATCAGACTGATCTATAGGCAAGCTTGTGGTATGTTTTCTTGATTGATGGGGGAGGGCGCCCAGCTCACTGTGAGTGGTGTCACTCTTGGGCAAGTAGTACTGGACGGTATAAGAAAACGGGCTGTGTGAGCATGCTTTTTTTTTTTTTTTTAAAAGCCTGTACACTTCTGGCTTCTGCTTCAATTCCTGCAAGCCAGGTTCCTGCCCTGAATTCCTATCCTGACTTTCCACGACAGGCTGTGACATGGAAGCGTAAGGTAAATAAATCCTTTCCTCAAGTTGTTTTTTGGTCATGGTGTTTTATCATAGTAATAGAAACCTTCACTAAGACATTAGGACAGTCTGACTCCCACATCCAGGCAGGGTGGTATTAAATATTTAAGTTATATAACTAATACCTAGCATCTTGGTCTGTTTATCAAAACTTCTCTAGACAGCCTGATCTACAGAGTGAGTTCCAGGACAACCAAGACTACACAGAGAAACCCTGACTCAAAAAACCAACCCCCCCACCCCCACCCCCGCAAAAAAAAATTCTCTAGTAATTTGGCAACTCTCCTATAGATCTCCTATAGAGAAACAATGTAACTTTCCCCTCCTTTTTTGGGGGGGGGCAAGGTCTTGCTATATTGCTCAGATTGGCCTCCAATTCATGATCCTTCTACCTCAGACTCTCAAATGCTGGGATTTACAGTTGTGTACCACCACACTTGGCTACAACATGACTTTATTTTTTTCTTTTTCTGGTCTCACTACAGATTGACCTCAAAGCCTCACACATACTAGATAAAGTGAATACCACTGAGTTACAACAACACATCTTTGCCAGCATGAATACTACTCTATCTGCCAGTTAGTAAAACAGCACTTCCCTTATCTGTTAAGTTTCCAGGCACTTAACCCTTAAGAATTTGAAATTACTCTAGGAATCTGGCCCCACCAAAGAGGCTGAGGGACAGGTTCTAAAGTATGGTGACTTTACCAAAGCCATATGATAAACTGAGCAGTCATCTGCTAAAAGGCCCTGACCACTCCCCATGGACTACAAACCTAATTGAAAGTCCATGGGAAGGACTCTTCCTTACATTCTCAAAAAATAAGGTGTGTGTGTGTGTGTGTGTGTGTGTGTGTGTGTTGGGGGTGATAGTGAGATGACTTAGCAGGTAAGAGTACTTGAGACCATGCTTGACAATCTGAGTTTCATCCCTGGGACCCACATCATAGAAGAGAACCAACTGCAAGTTATCGTCTGATCCCCACACGTGTGCCCTGGCATGCATGCACGTGCATACACCTCACACAAAATAAAAGGTAATAAAAACTTTTTAAAAGTAAGGGGCACCCTTAAAACCTATTTTTCCTAAATGACAACCCTTAATAATCACACACACACACACACACACACACACACACACACACACACACACAGTCTATATCATATTCTAGGATACTCTCAAACTATTCTCTACAAACTAGGAGTGGTGGTGGCTCATGCCTGTAATCTCAGGAAGAAAGACGGGGTAGGAGGGACACATGGGATACTACTATAAATAAAATCTGAGGCCACCTTGGGCAACAAGTGGGTACAAGGCTAACCAAAGCTATACTGCAATAGCAAGACCCTGTCACACAAATCCCAATTATACATAAAACACGGGGGCTAGCAAGATGGCTCAGTGGGTAAAGCCACTTGCCACCACGCCCGAGAACTTGAGTTCCATCCCCAGGTGAAAGGAGAGAACTTCTGCAAGTTGTTCTTTGACCTTCACACATTAAGCCATGGAACATGGACATGCCCACCCCCCAGTAAATAAATACAAAAATCCAACAAAAAACAACCCGTTTCCTTTATAAATCTTTGGCATAGGGTAGCCTCAATTGTTACTTCAGGGAACAAACCTGCCCTTATTTTTCAGGGCTGGGGATGAGTGCAGGGCCTCAAACATGCATGCTAGGTGCTCTGAGTCATGTTCCCCGGGCCCTGGTCGTATCATCCTATCTGTACCCCATATTACTCTCCCCTCTCAGCACGTCTCTTTCTAGCCTGCCATGCCTTACTCCTTGGAGATGAGGACACAAAGGAGGACACATCAGGATTTCCTAGAAGAAAACATCCTTTTGCTCCTTCCTAGGTTTCCAGCTGACAGAACAGCACATAGGTTCCTTTTTTCAGAAAGCAGTCCTAAGGTTGCTTGGACCTTATTCCTGGCGTCTGACACCTCAGAGGTCACACAATAGTAAATACAGCTGGGATTATTTTCCCTTCCGAAGACACTGCCATATATTTGTCCACACTACAGCCTTAGAAAATACCACTGTAATTACTCTCAAGGTGATCTGAGATAAGACAAAACAGCTCAGGAATAATACCATCTTATTTATCAATCTATTTTGAGACAGGGTTTCTCTGTGTAGCCCTGGCTGTCCTCGAACTCTCTCTGTAGACCAGGTTGGCCTTGAATTCAGAAATTTGTCTGGCTCTACCTCCAGCGTGCCATCTTTTTAAACATCTTCACTGGACTGAGATGTGCATGGAAGTGGGTTGGACTGTTACCACCAGAAGGGAAATAAAACAAAACTCCCTTGACCTTACGTCCTTTGCACTTATCCCCAAATGTCTGTTCCGCCCACAGCAAAGCTCTCAAGTTGCCTTCGCGTTCACGCACTGTCTCTATTTCCCTACTTTCCTGTTTACTTTGTAACCCGTTCTACTCAGGCCAACATCTTCAGTTGGTCCATACTAGGCAAGCTCAAGTCACCAATGATATTTTCCAGTTATCTCCGAGGTAACAGATTCAATAACTAAGCTTCTGGCTCAACTATACCAGGACATTCAGCACCTGGAAGCAGAAGCCTCCCTTCCTGCCTCAAACCTCAACACTCTGGACTTGACTCTGTCTGCTTCCTTATTACCTTCTCTCTAATACTGGAGTTTCCCAGGATTTAGTCACGGAATTTCTCTCTTTACTTTCTTCTAAGTCAAGGGTCATAAGCTGACAGGCCCACAACAGTGGTTGAACTGGCTCTTGGTTTAAAAACATCTTATTTAGTTGCTGGCATTTGAACATCTGGGTTTTTACATTACTTCCAAACCCAACTTTCTGATTCTTTTGGGGGGAAATAACAAGTATCTGTTGACAATGGGCCAACAATTCCCACAACACACAGCATAAATACATGGGTAGAGCAGAAGCAGCCCCTTGATGCGAGGTGCAGCTGCTGTTATCCACACAGCTGAAGCAAGAAGTTTGGGAATACAGTCCTAAGTCACATCCCACGGTCTTGCGGGGGAGAGGTGATCACTAGAACATCTGGCAATAGGGCCTTTGTCAAGTTTACCACTGGTAGGGTAGGGGCCCCCAGGCGCCTCCAGGGAGAGGGGAGAAGGGCTGAAGGACTTCACCCACTGGGAACCTGACAGAAATAACGTCTTTTCACGGTGCCGAAGACGACTGCTGAGGTTTGCCGTCTCTCCGGGCTAAGGTGGCCTCGAGACATGCAGGAGGCCCCGTCCTGGTCCTCCTAACTTCACACCCGGCTTTGTAAGGCCCTTTTCTAGATCACCAAAGCCACTGGGCAAAGAAAGACGGCTCTTCTAGCTGTCGATCGATCGTGAGCACCGAACAGTGGCGGAGAGGTGTGAAGGCGTGGGAGCTCGTGGGTCTTACTCGGTAGCGGAACACGGTTGCAGAGCTCAACCCGGGTTGGGCCCAGCTGCATAGGAGGCTGGGCAGGGCCGAACCGTGGCGTCTCCTCGACCCCACGGCCCAGCCCCCGGCGCGCTGCGTTCGGCTGACCTCAGTCCTCCCGCCCTCCACGGCTTCGGGGGAAGAGAAAAAGAGCTCAAGAATCACGGCAACCGGGCGGAGGAGACGCGACTGCCCAGAGGCCGCAAACCTCCGCCCAGGAAGCCCCACCCAACGGGAACCAGGACGCCTCCGCCTTAGCAGAGCCCACGCGCGACCCGGCGAGGGCGCGGAAGGGCGCGTGCGGCGTGACGCCGCGACTCGCGGCGCATCCCGTGACGCCATCGCGCCCGCTTTTGAAAGTTGGCGCCCGGGGCCGCCTCCCATGCTGCCCTGCGCCAACCCCTCCCCTCACCTTTCCTCCCCCGCCCTCAACTCCGCCGCCGGCCGGCCCCCCCCCTCCCCACCCGTCTCTTCCCTTATCAGCACCCGCGGCCCCGGCAGCGCCGACGCAGGCGCACTGCACCGCGCCGCCGCCATTTTGTGTCCGAGCCTGTGGAGCGATTAAACCGTGCGCGGAGCTGCTTCTTTGGCGGCAGCGGCGACAGCGGTAGCCAGTGCAGGCACGCGGAGCTGGCCGGGGACGCCAGGTGGCCGGAGCGGTGGAGCGGCGGCGGAGCGGGCGCCGCGGGGGGTGTGGCGCGAAGGTAAGGGGGCCCGGGGTGGAGGAGGTTTCGCGGGCCGCCTCTAGGTGTCACGATGGGGCCGCTCCGGTCGGCGCTGGCTGCAGCCCGGCGCCAGCGCCGCCGCCGGGGGGTGTTTGTCTCCCTCTACCGTCCCTGCTGCGGCGCGGCCGCCGCCATTGCCCGGCGCGGCCGCCAGGGCCTGGCCAACCTCCCCCCCTCCACGCCCGCCCGCTAGCTTTTCCCTCCTCCCAACATGGTAGGCCTCTGGCGGCGGTGGCGACAGAGGCCTGCGCGCTCGGCGACTCCATTTTCCTTCCTTTGTCTCTACCCTCGAGGCCGGCTTTTGGCCCGGCTGATCTCCGGGCCGCGGCCCGCCCTCTGCCCTCCGCCCCTCCCGCGGCGGGTGGCCCCTAACCGAGGCTGCAGCGCGGAGGCTCGGGTTCCGCGTTCGCCTCGGCGCTCAGGGGGTCTTGAACCCTCCTCTGCCGCCCGCGCGCAGCCAGGTCCCGGAACCGTGTGGGTGTCGGGTCCCTGCCGACGCGCCCCGGACTGCTCATCTTCCAGGCCACCCGGTCCCGGAACCTACCCGGCCGCCCTGAGTGCTCCTCCAGCAGCTGGGCTGCTGCTCTGTCGTTTCTCCGAGTCCGCTCCTCGCCGCGGCTGGTCTCCGTCACCGCCGAGTGGCGCAGGCGGCGCTGCTGTGGCTGCGAGCAGAGAGAGGGACCCCTGAACTGCCGAGAGCTCCCTCTGCAAGGCTGGCTGAGCCTGCTCGCGCCTCGACGCCGCCCGAGCGGGCGGGGGAACGCGCGCTCGCCGCCCCCGCCGGGCCCCGTTGCGCCCCCAAACTCCACGCCAGGGCATCGCTCGGGACCCGGCCGGCGCGGCCCCCGATGGTGGGCGGAAAAGACACGAATTTCCGCACCAAATAGTTTTTCCCTAAGCTAGGTTCGCATTCTTGAGCGCCTTGGAATGATAGCAGTCAGGCGTTGTGCGCTCAGAGATCTCAAAGGGACTGAAACTTCATTTCACTCTGATCTCAAGAGATGTGTTAAACTCGAAAATTCGGAGGTATAGGCTGATTACGTTTGTGCGGGCGACACTGGAGCTTGCCTCCGGTTTAAAATGTCCTGACGGTAACTTCGCACTCCACTTAGGACCTGATGCTCTAAAGCTAGGCTAAGACAGTTCAACCCCTTTGGGATTGTGCAACCCGATCTAAAGCGCCAGTAGGGCAGAATGAACTTATTCTTGACTAGACTGGTAATTTGAATGTTCGATGAAATTTGAGGGTTGATGTTGTAATTGAATCCTGGGTCACTTGCAGCAGATGGTTTATAAATGTCTGTGTCTGATGTAACTACTCTTTAGTAGCTGACTTCCTGTATTGAGCTTAGCATTAAGTAAACATCAGCATAGAGACAATACTTTTTTGGAGTTTAGATCAACTAAGAAAGCTAAAATTCCACGGCCTCCATAGGCAGGAAAAGAAATTAAACAGGATATTCCCTGACTTTAAGTCCTTTGCATTAAAAAGCTTCCTCCGTTAAATTGCTGGTGTAACCTTTATGTCCCAAGCGCCCCCCCCCCCAATATTTTGTTACCAATTAGCCGGAGGCGCTTTAAACATATCTCTCCCCCTCCTCCCCCCACGCCCGGACAGTTTCTCTTTGTAGCTCTGGCTGGCCTCTACTCAGAGATCCACCTGCCTCTGTCTCCCGAGTGCTAGGATTAGGGGTGTGCTGACATGCATAGCTTGCTTTAAACATCTTGATACTAAGAAAAAAACGTGCTATTCACTGTATGTGATCTCAGTTGGTAGGTCTTGGCAACCCACATTGTATGCAATTATTTCAACACTCCCATCCCCCTCCCTTAAATATCCTAGGATTCTCCCAGCTAGTTAGGACTTACTAGTCACATTGAAATCCTGTGCAACTTTGTTTTTTGTGGTGCTTGTGCATGCCATGCAAGTGTTCTACCTTTGAGGTATGTTCTTAGTCATTCAGCATTTCATCCCTTCTTTGAACTCCAGAATGTTCTTCCTCACCCTCCCCCACAATAAAATTGCATTGAGTAACTAAATGTAGTAGTGTCGATGGAATGCCAGGCTTTAGTAGAACCGTATTTCTTTTTTCTTCTTCTAATACGCTAGATCCAACTATGTAATTTATTACATTCTTTAAAGTTTTACTGTCAAGTTTTGTGTTTGGCAGGTGACATATTTGTTTATTAAAATAAGCTGCACAAACTCCAGTGGTGGGGTATACCAGTACTTTGGAAGTAGAGGCAGGAGGATAGGAGTTCAAGGTCATCCTTAACCTTATAGCAAGTATAGGCCAACCCTTTGGTACCCGAGACTGTCTTGGCAGAGAGTAGTTGGAATTTGTGTTTGTAGTACTGGGGTTTGAACTCAGGGCCTTGAATAAGCTAAAGGAGTGCTTGCTCTCTACCTCAGCTACATCCAAAACCCCTTTTTATTTTTATTTCTTAATTTTTTCTTTTTCTTTCTTTTTGGTTTTTCAAGACAGGGTTTCTCTGTGTAGCTTTGTGCCTTTCCTGGAACTCACTTGGTAGCCCAGGCTGGCCTCAAACTCACAGAGATCTGCCTGCCTCTGCCTCCAATTTTTGGTTTTCCAGGCAGGGTTTCTCCATGATAACTTGGAGTCTGTCCTGGAATTCACTTTGTAGACCAGGTTGGCTTTGAACTCACAGGCCCACCTGCCTCTGCCTCCCAAGTGCTGGGATTAAAGGTGTGTGCCACCACCGCCCAGCTCCCCCTGTCCCCCCTTTTTTTTTTGATGAAGTTTCTCATTAAGTTGCCCAGGTTGGCCTTGAATTTATTATGTAGCTTAGGTAGGCCTCCCACATTAAATCCTTCTAACTCCCTAATATCTGGGATTACAAGCTTGAATCCTGACACATTTAAAAAGGTAAGACTGGTCAGGAGTTCATGGCAAAGTTTAGTCCCCAGTACTACAACAACAAACAAATGGCAAATATTAGCAAGACACAGTATATTTGAAATGTCATGAGATCCAGTCCATTATTTTATACGATCAAGATTTTTAAAATGGAAAGAAAACAAATAAATCACTAAAAGAAAATAAATGGGGCTGGGCGGTGGTGGTGCACACCTTTAATCCCAGAGCTCAGGAGGCAGAGCCAGATGGATCTCTGTGAGTTCAGGCCAGCCTGGACTACAGGGAGAGTTCCAAGACAGGCGCAAAGCTACACAGAGAAACCCTGTCTCGAACCCCCCCCCCCCAAAAAAAAAGAGAAGAAAATAAATGGGAATGAATTAATGCAAGATAACCCAAAGGGCCTACTTATTTTAAATTTTTTTGGGCCTGTGTATTGGAACAGGGTTTCTCTTTGTAATAGTCCTGGCTGTCCTGGAACTTACTATGTAGACCAGGCTGGTATTGAACTCACAGAGATCCTCCTGAGTGCTGGGATTGAAGTCCTGGACTACTGCACCTGACTTTTGGACCTCCAACCTCCACCCCCGTTTTCTATTTGAAACAGGGTTTTTCTTCATAGCCCTGGCTGTCCTGGAACTGACTATGTAGACCAGGCTGACCTCACTCACACTTGATCTTTCTGCCTTCTGAGTATTGGGATTAAAGGTGTGGGCTACTACCCTGGGCTTTTACTTGATTCTGAACTCAAGTCTCAGACTTTCCTGGAAGTAGATTGTACCCACATAGCCGTTTTGCCCAGCCCATGGACTTACTTAATTTAAACCTATAACATGACACAGGTACATGACTGTCTGCCTGTACAAGGAAATCCTGTTTATTTAAGAGTAATTGGAAAGTTCTCGTTAGAGATCTCTCCAACCTTGTAAGGAAATTTTTTAAGTGTAAAAGTTAACCTTAAGATGTTTTCTAAGAGTTTTAGGGGGGTTTTTTGTTTGTTTTTTCTTTTCTTTTTTTAGGATATTGAGAATTAAAGGAATTGGGACTAATGATTGTCTTGGGAGTTCCTTGGCAAAGTCTACATGTGGCTGACTAATGCTGTAGGGAGGAGTTCTATGGCAGAATCTTGCACACTTTTACTGACTGGCAGAAAATTACCTTTTGAGCCTTTTTTTCTCCTAGGGGTTGCTGCTGGCATCACAGCTATCCCACAATGTAGGAATCCTGATTTGTCCAACTTTATATCCTATGTACATGTCTTGGCTCCAGATGACTTGAAACTTGGTAAAAAATGACCCTTCAGATAGCTTATACTTGTCATGATTCAAGACTAAAAAGGAACTTCCAAGTTTAGGAAGAGCAATAGAGGCAAATATGTGCAACACTGAAGATAGCTTTTTTTTTTTAATTATAAAATGTAGTTTTTTTTTTTTTTTTTTGTTTTTTTTTTTTTTTGGTGTTGTTGTTTTTAACTTTTTGGGGGCCATTCAGCTCCCAAATAAATACATGGAGATGTATTCTTACTTATGAATGTCCGGCCTTAGATAGCTGTTCTCAGATATGTAGTTTTGTCATTTTACATTTATTTTCAAGACCACTTAAAGCCAAGCATGGAGGTATATGCCTATAATCTCAGCACTCAAGAAGCTGCGGCTGGATGAGTTTGAGACTAACCAAGTCTGTGTAATGATACCTTGTCTCAAAAATACCAAAACAAAACAGCAAAAACCCTTCTGGAACTAGAGAAATGGCTCAGTAGTGTTGAGCACTTGCTGCTTTTGCCAAGGATCCAGATTCTGTTCTTGTTACCCACATGGTGGCTCACAACCATCTCTAATTCCTGGTTCTAGGCATTATTCACCATCCTGTTCTGACCTCCATCTACTTACGTACATGTAAGCAAAACATTCATGCATAAAATAAAAAATAAATCTCTTATTTTGTAAAAAATTTTTTAAACTTGTGGGATAGGGCTATATATGTAGCCCTGGTTGGCCTAGAACCACTGATGTAGATAGATTAAGCTGGCCTCAAACTCAGTCATCATCCGGCCCCTGCCTCCCAAGTGTTGGAATTACAGGCATATAGCATCCTAAGAGGTTGTGGTAAATACCATACAGACTTTTTCTAGTCACTGTCTTCAGATCTTTCTGGCCAGTATCATGGTACATTTTTTCCCCCAGTGGTTTAGTGTTTGAATGCAAAGATGTGACATTATATAGTCTATTGATATACACCTCAAGAGTGGTGATATATTTTTCATATACTTGATATTTATAACTTTAAATTTTTCAGGGATGTAAATTCTATTGCCTTTGGTGTTATGGACTTCAATGTGAAATTGTTTCTTAGACAAAAATAACAGAAGAGCCATGCTATCGCTTTATCTTGAGGGTTTTTTTTTCTTGAGTTTTAAAAGTATTATATCAGCTTATTTTATTGAGCTAGTTAAATTATGAGAGGGATCTCCTCTTCATTGTACTTTATATACCGAATTCTTTGAAAACTTTTTGTTGCCATTAAAGATTATTTTATGTGTATGAATGTTTTTGCCTGCATGTATGTATATATTCCATGTGCATACCTTCCATGTGCCCACAAAGGTCAGAGGTGGGGTCAGATTCCCTGGAACTGGAGTTACAGACAGTTGAGAGCTAACATGTGGGTGCTGGGAACTGAACCTGGGTCCTCTGCAAGAGCAAGTGCTCTTAACTCTAGGCCATCCCTCCAGCCTTTTTTTTTTGTTTTTTTTTTTTTTTTTTTTTTTGAGGTATTCTCACCTCAAACTCAATCCTACTTCAGCCTGGGCCTATGGGTATATATCACTGTCTTTGAAAACTCTTCAGAGAGTACTTCACTTGGGAGTTTCTTTTTTCCTCTCTTTCTTTCCTTGTTTTTGTGGGGGGTGGGGGGGATGGGGGTGGGGCATGATCTCAAGTATTTGAGGCAGTCCTGGAGCTTACTGTGTAGACCAGGCTGGCCTCAAACTCAGAGAGATCTTCCTGCCTCTGACCTAGAGTCTAGAATGCTGGGATTAAAGGCATTGGTCACCAGGCTTGGCTCTTTATTTTTTTTAAATAGAGATAGATTCCTTTCTGTCATTATTTGAAGCACGGCAGTTTATTTGTAGTTTAGGGGAGGAAAAATGTTCATTAAAACAAGGATTTGATTATTGTTCTAGGATTTTCAAAGGTCTTCGGAAGCTTCTCTATGTCCCTT